AATATATTGAAATTCGACATCATTTTCTTAAAGATCACGTGCAAACCTCTTGCCCTCGATAGATTTTCTTATATTCGTAGAGGTTTAGGTATTATCGATGAATCCAAAATATGTGGTATAGCAGAACGAAAGAATCGTACATTGCAAGAAATGGCTAGGACCATGTTAAATGAAAACAATTTACCAAAATATTTTTGGGCCAAAGCCGTAAATACCGATTGTTACATTATGAATAGAGTTTTAGTAAGTCAAAAAAACACTATAGTAACTAGAAGTGGACACTTTGAAGAAATTCATCACCTCGACTTGTTCATTCTTGACTCCTTTCTTGTTGGTCGTCAATTGGACTTTCCCTACCTCTTTTTGAAATACACTATATCTACAATTCTCCTAGAGCCATAGGCTTACCTTATGGGATGCTTCTTATAAGAATCTTCCAACATTTCAATGTGCCATTAGACAATGAGCATTTTCTCAAGCCCAAACACACCAATATTATTAACCTCCACACTCTTAAATGAATGAAAATTGTTAAAGGCAACGGGCAATGGGTGTGTAATACTCAAGGCTTCGAAAATAACTCGGGGGCTACTACTTAGCCATTCACTTTGGAAGAGGCGGAAGAAGACATGAGTGATATTGGTGGTGATGGTGGCTGTGGTTGTGATGATTCTTCTCAGGCACGACAGAGGGTTCCTACTCCACGAGTGGCACCGACCCCCGGCCGACATATGTCCGGTGATCAATTCAACATCCTCCAAATTCGGATTGACTCTCTTACTACTACCGTCAATGAGCTTGATCAAGGAATGGAGCAAATGAATTTATCATTTGATCAACGGATGGAGGAAATGAGTCAATCTCAAGAGGCTTTCTTTGTCCTCGAAGGCCTCCTCCACCGGGAGAATATTAAATCATTCTCTCTAAGTTCTATCTTTCGTTTTTGAACTCATGTTTTTATGTCGTGACCTATGATTACTTTCACTTGGTTTTCCTAACTTGCACCTATGCCTTATTTTAAAACGGAATCTTAGTTCCCATGCTTTTTAATGATGACAAAAGGGGGAAAAGGAAGAAATATGTGATTATAATTGTGACTTACCATTTGATTATAAACTCTGATTATTTGGTTATGAATTATGATTTGTGAGTTTGATTATTTCTATACATTATGATAACTTCTAAATGTGATTTAGTATATCAATGAATTATGGAAATGAATGTCTTTAGAATATCATGCTATATATGATACAAACTTGGATCTCATTGATGTGTAAAAGATAGAGGGAATATCTTATAACAAATGAATCACTTATTTTTCTAACAAGTTTTGTCTCTTAGTTTTTCATAAATATATTTTCTTAAGTATTCAAAAACTCAAATCGTCATCCATTGAAGAACAAGCAATCAAATGTAATTTGAAAGGAGCAAGAACAAGAACTTTGAAGATTAAAGATTAGAAGTAGTTTATCGGAATTTAAATGTAAAGGTATTAACTCATCGATTCTTAGCAAGTGCATAAAGCTCAAATTATTTTCATAATCCATCACTTACATAAAAATGCTTTTCATTCATAATATGAAATAGATTTTGAAAATGCAATTTTGAAAAAAAAAATGTCAATTTTCGGTCAACCAAAAATTCAAACTTCAGTTGACTGAAAATGCAGAATTGGTTAATCGACATTCCAACGATTTGATTTCTCAACGGCTATACGCTTTCGGTCAACCGAAATTGGTCAACCGAAAGTAACTGAGAGTGTCCGTTTTGCTCTATAAATATTCATCTCTTTTGNGCTCTATAAATAGTCATCTCTTTTACATTGAATTTTCACCAACTTACGAGAAATTTTAAGAGCTTACTTATTGAGAATTATCGAGATTACTTGAGTCAAAATTCTATTTCGTTTATTACAAAAGAGTTTCTTGATTGTTTCAACTTATTTTCATTCATCTTATCAAGAAATCTTTTTAGCAAAGAACTTTTCATAAACTTTATCTATTCTTTATTCTTAATAAAAGTTTTCTTTGCCAACACTTTGATTTAAAGTGTAAATCTCTTTTCATACTTAACTTGTATTATTTGTTAAGAGAGATCATTGATTTGAAAATTTTGATACAAAAACTCAAACTACTTCATTATCAATTAATTCATCAAAGTTTTCTTCATAAACACTTGAGCTTTGTTTCTTGCTATTCATTGAGTGTTATCCTAACTCTCTAATTACTTAACTTATTATATCATTTGTTAAGAGAGTTATTTCAATTGTAAAATTATCATTTATACTTTGGCGGTTTCGGGAGCACTGTGAAAACTCGATTGTGTTAAGGATAAATGCTCCTTGTTGTAAGTCACTTAAGGATCGGTACTCCTTGTTTGTAAGTTACAATTATAGTGCATTTGGCCTTACTCATGATGGAGAGCTTGGTAACGGGGACATAGAACACATTGTGTATCGAACCNTAACGGGGACGTAGAACACATTGTGTATCGAACCCGATTAAATTGGGTTGGTATCTTTACATTATCGTACTTTACTTTATATTGTAATTTATATTGTGCTATATTCTTCCTTGAATTAAGTTATCTATCTTGCATATTTAATTATAGTATTATGCTTTGCATTCATATCTTGTGTATTGTATCATTTTGAGACTAAGTGTCGAAAAAGTCTCAAAAACTAATTTACCCCCTCTTGGTTAGTTATTCTTGGGTTATTAGTTTGTCTCATTGCATCGCTGTAATACCAAACTTATATGCTCCAAACATTCATCAAATGACGATCCAAACACCGAAAAGTCATCCATGAAGTTTTCTATAAATTTCTCCACCGTGTTAAAGAAGATTGCCATTATGTAAGGCTAAAAGGTAGCAGGAGCATTGCACAAATCGAATAGCATCCTACGGTAAGCAAATGTACCATAGGGGCAAGTAAAAGTGGTCTTCTCCTGATCATCAGGTGCTATTGGGATCTGATTATATCTAAATATCTGTCAAGAAAGCAGTAGTGTGATTGCTCTGCCAGTCTTTCCAACATCCGATCGATAAATGGAAGTTGAAAGTGATCCTTCCGAGTAGCAGCATTGATTTTTTGATAATTAATGCAAACTCTCCATCATGTAACAGTCCTGGTGGGAATTAATTCGTTCTTTTCATTTTGTACCACCGTAATTCTACCCTTTTTCGGCACGATCTAAACTGGACCGATCTATGCACTGTCTGATATTGGGTAGATGAAACTCTCAGTCAGGAGTTTTAATACGTCTACTCTGACTACCTCTTTCATATTTAAAATAAAGCATTCACTGACTATCTACACTCGGTCGAAAATTTTCCTCCATAAGAATCTCATGCATGCAAAAGGGCTGATTCCTTTAATATCTGCAATGGACCATCCTATGGCTCCTCCACTTTGCTAACTGAGTTCGAAATAATTACTGGCAGTGTAGATTACCACTCCAAGTAAGTATCGAAGATGAGGTGGTCGTTGCTTGAGTTCCAATTTAAGAAGCTGCTGAATGGATGGTAATGGCTTTGTAGGACCCGTTCCCAACTCCTCAAAATAGCATTTACGCGTGTACGGTGGATTGGTCTCCAAAAACCTTTTCACATGCCTCGATCTCAAGAGAATCAGTGTGAGTAGATTGAGAGTGTGCAATGCATGCCTCAAATGCATCTGACGGGTTATGAAGTAGAAATGTATCTTGGACCTCCTTCTCGATCACATCTATCTGAAAGCAGCTGTCTGACTCAATAGAAAATTTCGTGGCCATAAAGACATTGAAAGAAATCTGTTATTCACCAAGTCTCAAAATAAGTTGACCCTTTTAAACATCAATAAGAGCTTTCCCTGTGGCTAAGTATGGTCGGCCCAGTATGAGTGGAATATCCTTGTCCCGTTCCATGTCGAGAATGAAAAATTCAGTTGAAAAGATGAATTTTTCCACTTTAATCAAAACATCTTCTACGATCCCTCCTGGAAGAGTAAGGGATCGATCAACTAGCTGAAGAGTTATCATAGTTGCTTTAGCCTCTCCCAATCCAAGTTTCCTGAAAATAGAAAATGGCATTAAATTAATACTTGCACCTAAATCGCAAAAAACTTTATCAAAATAATAATCTCCAATAGGGCAAGGTACAGTAAATCTCGCTGAGTCGTTTAACTTTGGAGGTAGCTTTTTCTAGATTCTAGCGCTACATTCCTCAGTCAAAATCACAGTTTCATGTTCCTCTAGCTTGTGTTTATTAGATAGGATGTCCTTTAGGAATGGCTTAGCTCGGCATTTGGATGAGTGCATCGACAAATGGAATGTTGATGTAGAGTTTCTTGAAGACCTCAAGAAATTTCGTGTATTGTTGATCCAATTTTTTTCTTTTTCAACCTTTGTAGAAATAGAATAGGAAGCTCGTAAAGATTGATTGGAGCGGTTGCCCTAACCTGTGGTGTATCTGAACTCTCCTTATTAGATGCTTCTGTTGTCTCTTCAGTCTGTTCTGCATGCTTCTCATCTGAAGAAGGTACTATTTTCTTACTCGTAACCGGCCTCTTTACATGAATTTTTGGTAATTATACCCCGCTTCTGGTTGTTATTGCTATTGCATGTTCCTTAGGGTTGATTTATATATTGTTGGGTAGTGAACTTAGTGCTCTGCCTGTCATAAAGAGTGACATCTGCTCCACTTGAGTTTCCAGGTTTTTAATAGTTGTACTCTGATCTTGGAGAGTAGTTTCAGTCTTTTTCATGTATTGATTTGCTTTCTCCATAAATTTTTTGAACATCTCTTCCAATTGAAATTTATTCTCATACTGCTGAAACTGATCCTACGACCTATTCTAATTCTGATTAGCCCAAGAGAAATTCGGGTGTTTCCTCCAACTTGGGTTGTAAGTATCTGAATGTGGATTATTCTGTTGATGTTGTCCCCATTGTGATCTCCAGCTGCTGAAACTGATCATGCGGCCTATTCTGATTCTGATTAGCACAATAGAAATTTGAGCATTTCCTCTAACCTAGGTTGTAAGTATCTGGATGTTGATTATTCTGTTGATGTTGTCCCCATTGTGAAACATCTACTTTTTCCATTCCTTGTACCATAATAGGACAATCTACTATAATATGATCTGCTCCATACTCTTCGTAACTTAGCTTCTTAGCTTGTGTTGCATTGACTGTCTGTGATATGTTTTCCACCTTATGAAATGATGAGTCTATCTTCGCAGATAAAGTTGAGTAAGCATCTACCCCGTATTTACCCTAAGCTTTCTTTTGAACAAATCGCTCAGAATCCACATGCCTGAAATAGTAACCACGGTATCGAATAACTTCAAAGTTTTATCAATTGTCTTTGTAGATAATAAGCCATTAGATGAAGAATCCACCATACTTTTGAATGATGGAAGCAATCCTGCATAAAAATATTGGACATGGAGTCCCTTGCTAATACCTTGATGAGAACACTTATGTAGCATGTTCTTGAACCTGTTCCAAGCTTCATTAAAAGATTCACTTTGGCAGAAGATAGATATATCATGCTTCAATTTTGCTATCTTGGCCGGTGGGAAGAATTTTGTGCAGAACTTTTGGGCTAGATCATTCCACGTGCTAATACTAGCGATAGGTTGAGAATCTAACCACTCAAGTACTTTATCATGCAAAGTGTGTGAAAACAACCTCAGTCTAATAACATCATTTGAGATACCCTGATATCGAAAATGTTGACAACCCTCTAAGAATCGAGAGACGTGTGTATGAGGATTTTCTTCAGCTCTGCCATAAAACTGATGTCCATTCTGGAATAAATATATAATGTTAGTCTTCAGCTGGAAATTAGGCTGCACAAATGGAGGGTAGACGATGCTGGATTGACTCTGAATGATCTGTAGTGTCATGAAATCCCCAATAAGCATAGTTCACTCATCAACAACTTCATCTTCATTGACCTGAACTACTTGATTGTTTTGCTCGTTAGCCATTTGTACTAGCTATTTGGGATCTCTTTTTTGTGCTTCTCTTGCTTCCCTTAGCTTAAGATAAAAGGTGGGTTCGATTTCTGGATCAGCTGGACTCAATTCACGATCAACCGACCTTCGCATACAATATCTAGAAGAGAAACAATAGTGGCACTTAGATAACTAAAATGAAATGAAATAAATAAATAACAAAAAATGTTCGAATTAGTGTCGAGGCAAATAAAATCAAACTAAACTCAATCCCTGACAACGGCGCCAACAACTTGTTCACGAAAATCTATTTCGAAGTAAAATTATCGGAAGTATACGGTTCGTTAACAAGTAATAAAGTGGATTTTGAGTCCAAGTATCATCCCACGGAAATTGATTTAGTTCAATTTAAATTAACACAACCTTAACTGAAACAAGAATAATGCAAGGGTTTGGTTGTGACAAAATTATAATTAAAATAAGCTACTTATGTAATTATAAGTAAATTAACTAAACTAAATGCAAATTATGTTGAATGAAAGTTAATGTGTTTTAATGAATGACAAACATACTAGGATCTCGAATTCCCATGCAATAATCAGTTTTAACCCTAGTTTTACACGTTGACAACACGACTGAATTTAATGAGTCAATGTTCCTATGTTATTTAACATCTCTCGAGTAATGTTAAACCTACTTTTATATATGACCCAACTATATTTCTATAATGGATACAAATATATAAAAATGCATGACTTTTTATGAACATTTAACAATTCACATAAGGCATAGCGGTATATTTCTATCCCCTGTCGGACCCTATGAAAATTTATATATGTCGAACCTATTTTCCTTCTTTCAAATGCATAAAATGGACCACCTAATTCACACAACTAACGAGCATAGTAATTGTGGAGAAAATAAAATCATATAAATTGTTCAATATCCAAAAACGTGTTTCAATGTCAAATAAATAAAATTAAAAATTAAAACTCATATCACATGGTTCATCATTCTCCTAGTGCATAGAAAAATAGCCTAGCATGTTATGAAGGAGAAAACAAAAGGAATATTGAAGAATCGACATTACCCAATATAGTTCTTGAATTGATTCTCGTATTTTTTGCTTCGATCTTCGTATTGTTGGCTTCTTCTCTACTCCAAAAGTCTCTTAAAATGTGTTCTCCTGCATTCTGGACGATTCTAGGGTTTTAAAAGGTGCCCCCAAGATTCGTTTCCATGAGAGTTGGAGTCATATAAGGAAACCAGATTTTTTCCGCAGCGAAATACCTATGTGACTGCATAGTGTTAAGGAATGCGACCACAAAGCTCTTAAATGTTGAGCTCTTGCAATGCGACCACATGGGTGAAGGGGCTATGTGATAGCATAGATGTTCATAAAATTCCATATTTGCATTTTAGTCCCTAAACTCCTTTTTCTCCTTCTTTGATTTCTTTTCCACTCCTTCTTCCAAGACTTTATTCCTTCACTCAATTGGTCTTCAACTCTTTCACTTCCTTTTTTCTTCTACCGGGTCATCTTTCGACTATTTGTACTTTGATCCTGAACTTTGACTTTCTTCCATTTTAGTCCTTTTTCGCTTCTTTTTCCTAAATTCCACCATGTTCATCAATGTTTACTACAAAATGCAATTTATATAGAATTAAGCCATATTTCGATATAGTTACTAACAATTATCCTTTTATTTTTATGACCTAAATAAGTGTGTAAAATGCACTTATGAGTTAAAATAATATATGTTGGATTATTCTATTTTGCCAAAAGAAACCATCTACAAGGAGTGCCGAAAGGTATGTGGCGGGAGATGACTGGATGGAAGAGATTATTGTGTTTTAAACCGTCTAACGATAGAATGTCACGTGCTATTATGTAAACATTTATGTTAAGTATGATGTAGATCTAAATTAACTTTTATGTGAAGTTTAAATGTGCATTAATCATGTTTATCAATATGTGTAAAATATAAAGTATATCTAATTTTTCTACATATCAATTTGAATAATTTAAAGATTCCTTTTGAAGGGTTAATAATATGACATTTTTTTATCTTAAATTAATTGTTTATCTTTCATATGATAATGCATTATAATACATTTTAGAAAAGAAGAGAAAAATTTTCAATTTACGTGCAAAATTATTTTATTGAGAGAATGTATAGCTGATATGATAAGAAACTATAGTATTTTCGTATCATATATTTAGTGCCTCGTAAACACATAAACTCTAAATAATACAAACTATATTAAAGTAATTGTGCCGTGACAATTTAATTAAAGTATTTAATTGTATAGATTTTGTATTATATGAAATATGAAATAATATTATTTATTAAAAATAATAACATACATGCAATTGAAAATAATTTTTATGGCTTGTTGGGTTTTGATATCCAATAAATTCGGGAGATAATTTAAAACAGTTGTCAAATAATTTATTTACACCATTGACTTGGCTCAATAACCTTGCACACTTTAGAGTGGCCCATGAATTTAGCCCATTGTCATTGTGATTATTGGTTGAGGCCTCGATTGATTGGTTATGTTTTAGCCCATTTAGTTGTAATTAAGTGGTAGCCCAATTGGAGAGGAGTGAAATGGCCCATATAAGTAACCTAATGCGTTTAACTATATATGCATTCTCCACAGCCGTGTTCTTCTTTGTGTGTGAGCCACGTGGAGAGATAAAGAGGAGGGTACCGGCATTGGGGTAGATTTGAGATAGTTTTAACCATTGCTTTACCCATACTTTCTATTGTTGTAATATTTAAGTGGATAAACTACTAGGCTGAAATACAAACTTACGAAAAACAACAAGAAAAATAATTTGTTAACTGCAGTAAAATAACAAAATGAGAAATAGAAATTGCAATAAAAAAAATTCCCAAACTGAGGCCTGTGCGAACACAGTTTCCTTAAAACAGATTCGCCCGCTCACCGTTCGTGCTTGAAATATAATTTGAGTATCTACTTCTCAGGATACAATGGTTAACCAGTATAATCTGAACACAACAGTTTTTACTCTGACGAATTGAGTTAGTGCTCGAACAATATCACCACCAGAAAATCGAAACAAGGTTTGGAAGGAAAACAGTATGCAAGATAAACAGAAGCAGAATGTAGAAGTGGGGTTTCGACAGTATGCAGAACAGGAGGAAATTTCGTGTGTTTGAACTGGAGGAAAAAGGTTCTTTTATGTAGAATTTGAACTCCCAAAGTCTCCATAACTCACTTGTAATAACTAAGGGAGTTTCAGACATTTTGGAGTTTCAAAAACCTAAAAGTCAGTTCTAGAAAGCAAAAACAAATTCCAATACGTAGGCCCGCATACAAGTTCCAAAAATAAATTCCAAAAACAAATTCCAAAACAATTTCAATCCAATCCGACATTCGTGTGTGCAAGTCGCGCTCGCATACGAATTCAAGATCCGAAACCCATTTGGTCCGTGATTTGCACCTCCCTTACGCGTGCACGTGGAGAGAGTATCTATACTACACATGATTACAGCATTCTAAAGTGCAATCCTATATAAGGTGGTTTTTGCTTTCCTCATTTTCCTATGTGGGACAAATTTATTTTAGTTTTCTTACCCACATAAACTCCTTTCACATGGCATACTTTGAGCATAAATTTCTCATTCACCCTTGCATTATTTTTGGCAAGTAAATAAATGATTTCGATGTACTTATGAAGGAGAACACAAATCAACTTCCATATTCCAAAATGAACAATCGGGTCCCACTCAAATTTAGCTCCAAAGTCAGCCACCCAACCATTTTTTCCAACAATCCCCCACATGAATGAAAATTGGGAGCAACTCATGAATGTATCACATGACGACTTGGTGATATAGTTCAATGGTTGAAACCTGCATGGATAGGTAGGTGTTACCCTTTGAACATTTCCTTGTGAAAGTATATTTACTTTACTAGCTGACAAGTAGACGCGCGATATCTTTGAACTGTACTGCCGTTTATGTAAACAATGATATACTCCACATATGATTCTTCCTAACACATTTCAATTCTCATTATTATGTTCGTTTTGGTCATGAACATACGCTTGGTTCTGTAAGAGTTCACAAGAATTACGCCCCACACTATTCTCCTAGAAGCGGCCCTACTTCTCTCTCACATAAGTGATTTTTTAATACAAGTAACCCGCATTACTTGGTTCGATTTTCGACGCATAAGAATCATTAAAAGCCTATTGCGTAGCCTCCATATTTACTGACATCAATAATAGGAATGGACATGAGGTAATATCCCCCACAGTGATTATATCAAGTCTTTCTAGTTAGGTTGTCCCTTTGAACCTAGATCTTGGGATCTCCAGTCAACTAGGTTGGGTTTCCTTTATATTGACTATCCATTCAAGGGCTTATGTCTCATTCCTCTCGATAAATTTCCAACAAACTCTCTAATTAATTCTTTGGTTAGCGGATCCGCAATGTTATCCTTTGACTTTACATAGTCAATAGTGATAACTCTAGTTGAGAGTAGTTACCTTATAGTATTGTGTCTACGACGTATATGTCTAGACTTATCGTTGTACATGTTACTATGTGCCCTTCCAGTTGCTGATTGACTATTACAATTTATGCAAATTGTTGGCACAGGTTTTGACCATATTGGAATATCTTCTAAGAAGTTGCGCAACCATTTAGCCTTTTCACCACTTTTATTTAAAGCTATAAACTCAGATTTCATAGTGAATCTGGCTATCACTGTTTGTTTAGAGGATTTCCAGGATATAACTGCACCTGCTAATGTGAACACAAATCCACTCTTGGATTTTGAGTCTTTTATATCAGATATACAATTAGCATCACTATATGCTTCAATAACCGCTGGATATCTTGTATAGTACAGTCCAAAATCATGAGTATATCTCAAGTACCTCAGTACACTTTTTATTCCCTTCCAGTGATCTGTTCCTGGGTTACTCG